CCCCCCCCCCATGTTTAGGAGCAAAGTGTGACGTCTAATTTGACTTTCTCCCCTTTAGTGAAGGGTATTCACTGTCTGCCATGGAACAGAGTACAATAATGTGTGACACAAATTTATACAAATTTTCATTAAATTCTAACAATAAATTAGTGCCGTGGAAGTCATGAAAAGGGGACTATAATGTGTTTGTGCATCTCCGTCCTTGACTAGAATCTCAGTATTGCTTCTGTAATAAATGTACAATATCAGTTTTGCAGCAAATAAGGCTGCTTGATAGATAGCAGTGTTGTAACAGTGATAAAGACTGTTTTATTTTTGGGTTGCTGTATCGACTGTGAGTGGAAAAGCTGTGTGATGCATGCCTATCCCGGCAGTATACTGGCAGTATCGTAAAAGGTGAGTGTGTGAGTGTGTGTTGTGCATGTGTGTGTGGTAGCTATGACTGACTGTGCATCCTATCTGAGGCAGCAGCAGCTAGCTCTTGCATTTAGGGATGGGAGGAACATCGGTTTTGCGTCGGCATAAGGCTACATATGCCTACACGCGGGCAGGGTAGGGATGACAGGGAGGACTCAAAGGGCTGCAAAATTGAACTGAGCGGCACCCCAGCCCCCCATGAGCCCACCCTTCTCTTGGACCCTGGAGGCCAGCATTCCACCCTCCACGCTAGTGCTTATCATCACAAAGGGCAGAATGCATAAAACATGGAGGACGCTTAGACAGAGGCAGCCCAGGTTGCCTTTCTCTCTCTACACTGAGCCCTGGAACAATACATGGGCCCCTCTGGCCTGTGACTCTGACGACACACACGCCGTCTTTTTTGTCCTCCCCTATTTCTTTGTCATCCTCTTCCTCTTCCTCTGTGTTACTGTGCTCTGTGGAGTGATAACTGCCCTCGCATTGTTTATCTGTGTCTGTGAAATCTACTTTGTGTAACCGAAATGTAAGCGTGCGTGTGTGTGTGTGTGTGTGTGGGTGCATGAGGGAGAGGGAGTGACAGGTTCAGAAAAGTGACAGTGCATCAGCTGCATAGCTCCTGCTTTCAGTGCGTGTGTGCGTGTCTATATATGTCTAATAAATATACATATATATATATATTATTATTAGAATAATATTATTATTATGTTATTCATATAATTGACCTATTGAATAGATGCCAGCATTTAGTAATAAAATAAATATTTTATATAAAAGAAGCCATCAGCATGCCATTTTTTCTTGTTGCTAATTTATGCCAGGGTCATCTAATGACCTAAAATCATGGCTTATATTAATACCAATTAAAGTGTGTATGTTTTAAAATAACGGATCAAATACTATGTGAAAGCGATGCTAATATTTGTTCCTCCATGCAAGTCATTCTCCTCTGCTACTGTGCCCTGTGTTAACACTGCTGCACGTGCATAAACAAGCTGTATTTGACCTTTTTTTGTATTTACTTACTGACTGATTCACTGATACAGTGAGGTAAAACTGCAATTCGAGTGTTTTTCTTAATGCAGTGATATTCTATTTTCTTTTTTCACTTCTTGGTTGTAGCTTTAGTTTTGATTTCAGATTTAGGTCATAATGATTTTAATTCCCTTTCTGTGTTTTTTGCAAAGCATCTATCTGCTCTGAGACTGTGACAAACAGTAGTTATGTCTGCCTAAGGAGGTATTAGTCTGCATCTGTCTATGCATTATGAGTGTCTGATAGCTGGGCGGTAGGAATGTACCGCTGGGATGTGCTGGACCCCAGCAGGTCTATGGCACTTCCTCTCTGTGTACCTCACAGCTTATCCTCCTCAGGATTACAG